TTTTTTTTTTTAAATACACGGAGGAATTTGATTTGTTGGCTTGCCTTGGTGTTAGAAGTCTGTTGTTTTCTTAAGAAGCCCACATAAGTGAGGCTTCTACTTGTGCTCAGAGACAGGAATTTTCTGAACAACAATAAAAAGGTACAGGGGTAGAAGGGAGTGAGATGAAACCTGTTTTCCCACTTACTGCTCACTCAGTGACCCACCGGGTAGACACTCACATTCCAGTGACACGGATCATGAAGAGTCACCGACATAGGGAGCATTGCCCTGGGCTGACTGGCCTTCACTGTCAGCAAATCGTGTCCTCTAATGACACTCCGTGGAAAGCACTGTGACTTTTATGGGCTTGTACCTCCTGCCTTTTGACAGAAAATGGCCTCTCTTGGCACTTGCTGCAACTATTTAGTCTTTTTGGATCTATGATGCCTGTACCAAGAACATTATAGGAGAAGGAACAAATGACATGGAGACCCACGGAGATCAGCTAGGATCAGGAAAGGTCCCAAGGGAACAAGCCAGAGAGGTGCTATTCCTCGTGTTTTTATTTTTTGGGGGAAAATAAATGATAGATTAAAAGATTTAAGGTTGTGGACTCCTACGAGGAATTAGGTACTGGTTTCAGAAGGGTTTTTGGTATTTTTCATTCAGCATTCCCTTTATTCTTTCCATAGACTGAGAATAGCAGGGCCATGTGTTTTAGCAAAAGCAGGGGTCATCCTGTTAGTTCTTGGACCTGGGGCCCCCGAACTGCAGATGGTGGACATCAAGATGCCTCCCTGTGGTGCCTCCTTGGGGAAATCACACGGCTCCTTTGTTAGAGACCTAAGAAACATCCAGCTTAATGGTTTGAGAAGACCTATCTGTTTTCACTTCTAAATAAGGGTGTCAGCAATCTGGGTCGTTTTTTAAAATATGACTTTCTTTATTCTCCCCCTTCTTAATAGTGCATTCCAGCTGATTTAAGACATGAGTCTTATCACTCCAGGCATCGTCCTACTTCAAAGCCACCCAGCACTGTGTGCTCTCTACCCAGCCTGCCCCCCAAAAGTAGGTGGCCCAGAATAAGGAGGAGAAAGAAAAAAGGGAGCACTCTCCCCTCACACTGGAGCACCAGAGATACGCCTTCTGGGCAGCCAAGTGTTGCTCATCCAGGGAGCGGTGGGGTTCTTAGGACCACCTTGGAAGCTCCTCCATCTCTCTACTGTCCCCCTCTCAGCCCTCACCTGCTAGTCCCCACCTTGAACCTCTAAAGTAACTATCCCACAGCCAAAGAAGGCATGTAGGACTACAGGGAAGGTGGAGAGCATGGGTTTCCTCCTTACAGCCCTGGCCATCTGTGGGATGACAAACTTCAGGTCCAGAGTTCCATCTACTGGAGGTCCATAATGACACTGCAGCCTTGTGTGTGACACATAGGAAAGGATGCCCATAGTAATCAAGGGCCCAAGACAATCTCCAAGCCTTGTGGGTTTGTGTGGCCTGGGGGCTGTTTTTGGTGAAGTAAAATGTTCACCAAGTTTAGGGGGGTATGAGGCACCAGTGAGGAGAGATTTCATTCTGGGGAGGCTGGGGGATTGCCAACCAGTCCTCCCTCCCACTCACCATCTGCCCAGGCTCTGGAGGCAGCTCTGGGAGGGTGAACTGTGATGAGCACACCATCTCCTCCTGGGACTGGCTGCTCCCGCCTGTCCTGTGCCAGCAGGTGGGGGATAGGGGGCGTGTGATCCAGGGATAGGGAAAGGGAACCTGTTCAAAACAGACCTCTGCCACCATGGACTCCGTGGCTCACACGAAGAGAAAGCTTTCCTTTGGAGTTCGGATGAAATAAGCCCATTGATCATTAGAGCAAGTCAGTAACATGGGGCGCAGGCATGGGCCTCAGGGGCTCAGTGCCTCTTGAGACTATGTGCAGAAAGCTGCATGGATGGGCACATTTTTTGGTGACAGTTCATAGTTTTCATCAGTGTTTCCTGACCTCCTACTTTCCCCCAAATTAAAGAAGCACTAATTTAGAGGAAAGGTAAGAACTGCTTTGACCTTTATTAGCAGGATATAACAACCTGAGAAAGGAAAAGCCACAAGGACACTCCTGACTTGAGAAGTCCTTCTTTGGCCGATGCCTGGGATCCCATCTCGGGCCATCTTCAAATCTGTAGCAGAACCCACACCTTACACGTTGTAGTCACTCAGTGACTTGGTGAACAAACATGGATTTGAATGTGACTGCTCCTGAGAGTAGGCAAAGGGTCTGCTCACGTTGCCATAGTAGAGAGACGTGCATACTCCAGTATTGCAAGACCACCGTGGCGGCGTCTTGTAGCTCCCACACCTTTCTCTCCCTATTCTCACTTCACCCATCCTTCCTCAGCTTGTGTTGTGTGATGTTGTTTTTCTTCTGCTCAGGTCTGGTTTCCTTTGCATTCTTGGTTCAGACATGCCTTCTGGCCAAAGGAAGGCTCCCAGGCTCCCTGTGACGGGACAGAGTCCCCCTACACACACACACACACCCAGCCCCACCAAAGACCTTCTGCCCTGCTTCTCCAACAGCTGCTGTTTTGCTGGATATTTTAGTAGTGCAGCCACTGAGAAAATCCTCCATCCCACAGCCAGGAAGGCTTTACAGCTGCACGCTCTATTTTTAACAGTGGCCAAGTTCCTAGGAAACCCCCATTCCCGTCAGAGGATCACATGGACTCCGGGCTTCCTTCCTGCTCCTTCACTCCACTTGCCTTTAGTGACTCCACAGTACGAAGTTCACACAGCCCTGCCTGGTCTGGCTCTCGCCAGCTCAGCCTCATCCAGCCAGTCTTCCCTACTTCCTCCTACAATTGGCATTTACCACCCCTGTCATTGTAATTACTTTTTACTTAAGTTTCCCTGCTAAGAAGGCTTCCCATTTACAGCACACCACCTAGCACATCTTAAATTCATGTATTCACTCAACAAACATTTACTGAGTACCTACCATATGCAAGGCACTGTTCCAGCACATGGGATTCACCAGTGCACAAAGCTTGCGTAGTTTACAATCTAGCATGGAAGACAATAAATAATAACTGTCATAAATAAATAAATTGCACAGTTGTAAAGTGATAAGTCCTATGGAAACAACAGAGCAGGGTAGGTGGAAATGGGAATGCTCAATAAATTGGTTAAATTGAATTTAATTGTGATATGGTTATATGGACATAGGTTGGGAACTCTTCTCTTCCTCATTAATTCAGTTCAAACCAATGATCCACAGATACAATTTTTGCATTAAATGCTATGACTATATTTGGTGAATTTCTCCATGCAAAAAAAAATAAGTATTAATGGATTCATAAAGAACATATTGGGATGTAATACTTCAAACCTATGAGACTAGGTAGATCTCTCAATACTTCTCAATCTTCTTTATTCACAGCACACGGAGTACATAATATTTACCAGCATACTTCAGTTCCTGGATAGGTTTTGAGAGTCTAAGAAGCCCTGAGGGATGAGAACCTTAATATACCACGACTCACTAAGGCATGTGGAGTGGAAATAGCAGCATTGGTTACCAAACTTAAGCATACCTTAGAACCACTTGGGCTGATTACAATGTAGATTTATGAGCCATACTGAGCTCTTGGGACTGGGAACAGGACCAAGAACCTGCTTTGTCAGTTTTCCCAGATGATCCTGGTGCTGGTGGTCTTGGGAACCACACTTTGAGCAATGCTGCTGCTGTACAACATAATGGAGAAATGGGGAAAATCACAATTTCTATTATGCTGTTATAGATGAGGTTGGGAACTATGGAGAGAATGGTAGGTCAGTGGTCTCAAACTTCATTAGCATGCATCAGAATTACCTAGGGGCTTGTAAAAACATGGGTTTTGGGGCCCAACCTCAGTTTCAGAGTGGGGACCAAACAAGGTCCCCATGATGCAGGATGCTGCTATTATTTTGGATCATGCTTTAAGATGACTTCCACTGATGGAAGTCATTCAGGAAGCTTGGAACTTAGGAATTTGGGGTTTATAAACTAATTTCACGTAGAAAATGTTGGGTTCATGTTTAGGACAGTAGGATTAGACCTGTTTAGTACACTCATAAAGCATCAGAATAAGTAGATTTGAGGAACAATCAAAATGAATTTCTTCTTTGATAAAAACATTGATCTGTGATCTCTCTTCATGTCCACCCTCCAGCTTCAAGGGACAGGAAGTTGAGGTAGCTGTCCATTTCTGTGGTGTAAATACTTCCACCATGGTCATTGTCAAGCTGCCAAGGTGAAGTCACTGAACACAGAGCTGGGAAGAGATACACACTGAATTCTCCACAGCCATAAGAGTTAGCTCTGGCATACCTCTGGCTATACACACCACCTTTATCTCGGCTGTGGTGACAGGCACAGGGACCCTTCTCTGAATGCTTATACCAAACTGGCTGCCTTTCCTGGCCCATGGCCTGTACAGCTTATGGAGCACTGAGATTCAGCTTTAGATTCTGGGCATAGCCCAGGGTCCAGGTGGCAAGCCTTTAGGAAGATCTCTTTCCTCATACATCCTGGAAGGCATCAGTTCTCCAGCTTTGTCAGTAAAAGCTGACATGCTTCACACTCCAAGGTCAGGATGCCTCAAGGTACAACAGAAGATTTGATGGCCACATAAACCCAACTGAGGTAAATCTATCCCACAGCTTAGAAATTATATTTTGAGGTGACCTACCTTGTTAGGCCAGTGAATAGAAAACATTGGATAAATTTTTCTTTTCCAGAAAATAAAACAACAGAGAGAGGAAGGCAAGATTCCTCTTAAGAGAGAGAGCCTGCAAAGTCCCTTCACAGTTCAGATCAGGGTCACGGGCAAGTATTCTGAATAGAGATGAAGCCAAGGGTAATGATGGATCCTGATCCACAAGTTCGGTCCCATTGTCTCCTCCAGATATGTTTCACACACCTTTCTACCTGCCTCTTTGCTTTAACTCAGTTCTGCTTTCTTTTTCCTAACTTTCCTTCATCTTTCCAGATGCAGGACGCTATGGGCTATGAGTTACCCTGGGTGTATTTTGTCAGTCTGGTCATCTTTGGATCCTTTTTCGTTCTAAATCTGGTTCTCGGTGTGTTGAGCGGGTAAGCTGACCATTTTTATGTCCTCTTTACAATGCAGCCGAGCAAGGTCCCAGGTTCCACTATGACCATTGCCAGGATCCTCAGGAATAGGACCTTAATGGGCCCAGGAAAACCAGAATAAAAAAAGTCTCCATTCAACCACAAATTCTGATCCGTTGGCCAGGCAGGCTGTTTGGCCTCTGAGTTGCACCTAGAGGATCCTCGGGTCCCTGCGCTGCTCGGGTCAGCGTCTGGGGAGCTGGTGGCTGGCACTTGGCCATGCTCGGTTGCTATGTGTGCCTCACTAACTATCATTCCATTCTTCCAGGTCAATGATGCCGTAGGAAGGGACTGGCCCTGGATCTATTTTGTTACACTAATCATCATAGGGTCATTTTTTGTACTTAACTTGGTTCTCGGTGTTCTTAGCGGGTAAGCAGGACCAAGGAAAAAGGTCTTGATTTTTCCATTTATTTTTATTCATTCTTTCCGCTATTCTTGGCTCTTTCCTTTTCTGGCTCTGATGAACTTGGGATAAGGGGTTACCTTGGGAGCCTTGAAGTGAATGTCCTTGGCCTGGCTGGTAAAGGGTCAAATGCACAAGAAGGAGTCCACTGGTTTAAGTGATAGATGATGGAGAAGAGATGCCTAGTCCTGCCTCTCTCCTCATCAAATCCCCTTCCTGTTAAGACAGGCAGGATGCTTCTCCTTGTGTATCAGTAACCTCAGCCTCCAGAGCAGCATGAGGAGACCCTTGAGTAGAAAGGGCTTGCAGCAGGAATTTGAGGGAGGACTCATACAGGAAGTGCTTTCAGCATACATAGCAGTCTTGCAGATAAGTAGCCTTATCTCTTGGGCCAGTTACTATTTGCAGGCTAATATTGGGAATTTCAGATCACTTTTACTCAGTGGTGAACAGACCAGGGTAATAATAATTTGGTTTAAAATATAAGTAGGGCTGACAGTGTAGCTCAGTGGTAGAGCACTTGTCTAGCATGCAAGTTTTATTTGATCCATATATACACACACATATCCATATAAACACACACACAAACACACACACACACACATATATGGTAAACAAACACAGACCAAAAATCTAATTATCTTCAGTTTTAATTCATAGACTGTTCAATTTATTACTGATGTTTCCCTTTCTGAATGGAAAGGACACTTAATTAGTTAAAGTCATAGGTTATTTGACAGTAGAGGAGATGGAATTTACTTTCCTTTAAATTTACCTAGTTGGCTACAATATAAAATCTACCTGATCTCAGCCCTTGCTCATATAAAGCTAAAAGTGACAGGTTGAGTGTTGTCGCACAGGCCTATAGCCCCAACAACTCAGGAGGCTGAGGCAGGAGGATCACAAGTTTGAGGCCAGTCTGGACAACTTAGTAAGACCCTGTCTCAAAATAAAAAATAAAAAGGGCTGGGGATGTATCTTAATGGTCAAGCACCCCTGGGTTTAATCTTCAGTAACCCCCTCTGGAAAAAAAAAGTAAAAGTGACAGAGACAGCACATGGTTTGGGGGGCGTCACGTGGCCCTGAGGACAGCCATGTTTTCACCGGGAGGCTTGGGATGTTTCTTCAGCTCACTCTCTTCTTCACCAGTCCACACCAGCCATGCCAAGGCCTGCCACCTAAATGCTCCTGGTGACCACTCATGGGCAACCTACTCTGCTGCCTTTGCTCCTTGGGGGGTGGGATTAATCTATTCCTGCTCTGCTTGAACAAGCCAGCTGCTTTGATAGTCTTCCCTGGAGGTACAGGGACATGAACACGGGGGCTGGTGAGAGTTCAGGCTTGAGGGGAGAGGTTCTGTCCATTCTCAGTATAGAAGCAGGGCAGAGCTGTTCCCAACTAGAGCAGTTGAATATGATGCAGGGACACGGGGTTCATTCTTGGGAACTGGGTGAAGGAAAGGATCTCACCCCACCCATTTCCATGGCAGATGGCCTATAAGGGCCCTTGATGGCATTATACCTTTTGCTAAGGGCAGGCTACATGGGAGACAAGTGTTTTCCAACAGGGTGAGAAACAATGAGCAGGGCAGGGGTGCAGCTCAGTGGTAGAGCACTTGCCTAGCATGTGTGAGGCCCTGGGTTCCATCCCCATCACCACACACACCGAGCACACACACGCACACACAAACAAAAAAATAAAAGTGATGAGTAGAATAATGGAATCCCCTGATTAGTTAGTTGCCTGGAGGGTAAAAAGGTTTTTATTTTTAGTTTTAATTTTTTTTTTTGTTCCAACACAAGAAAATGCCCTGGATTTATACGTGAATGTCTAGGGAAAACCCTCATTATACCCATTCAGGACAGAAATTTGGGTACCCAGCTCTGCACCTAATGTTGGGCAACTTCACTTTTTTAAACCTCAGTTTTCCCATATGAAAAAAAATGAAGATGATAACAACCAGTTCATAATCAGTCATGATGTTAGCATGAAATCCTTCATGTAAGATGCAGCAGAGTGACCGCTGTATAGTAAGTACTGAGTAACGGTGGTGTCACGGTGATGAATATTATCTACCTGGTACCTGTCATAACTGGAATTACTGAACAGAATCATCACAGTTCCAAAAACTTTTAACCTTTACTTTTAAAGGTGAGAATGTGAGCCCAGAGATGTTAAGTGGCTTGGACAATGTCCCTTCACTGGTAAATGGCAGGATGGGACCAGCACTCAGGCAGGGCCTGACTTCCATCTTCACTGGTGAATCGCTAGATGTCCATTAAGGGACTCTGGACCATAATGCAGGCCAAAGCTCTAACCCTTTAAGAGAATGTAGTTCCCCTTTCTTCTCTTGGAGATTAGGAACCGAACCCAGCAGGTAAAATTCCTCCAGGCATCTGAAGTGGAGAATGAGCCCCTCCTGCAGGAGACTAACTGTCCCCTCCCACAGGAATGATTTTCCACGTGTTGTCAAATCAGGGAAATCAAATGACGGCAGCTGTTGATGACAGAGAAAAGGTCATTCTGAAGCCATGTCTGTTCTCCCTCAGTCCAAGTGAGAAAAGGTGTGTAAAAACATCTCACCTGAAACCTGGTGCTTAGTGATACTCACAGAGAACAAGAACATGAAAGCTCTTTGACTTCGGAAACTGTGAGTCTTTGAGTTCATACATTGGTCTTTTCCCAGCACCTGCCACCTGGCCACTCCCAGAGCTGCAGTCTGCTCCTGGCAGCTCTAGAATCACAGATTGGCTCTTTGCCCAGGCAGAGAGATGTCTGAGGGAGAACACCTCCCCTTTCTGGTTCAGGGAGGCCTCTCCTAAGGCCACTCTGGTGACAGCCCACGCAGTGACAAAAACTAGAAGCAGGCTTCTGTTGGCTGACCACAAAGTAGTGATGTCTGGAGTCAAGCATTTTGATTACCCAGGATGATATAATAGTCACCACAATATTGTGGCAAAACACCAACTTATTCATCACTTATAAAATTCTGATTATAAACCAAACCTTTCATAAGCACTCAAAAAAGTCTCAGAGCCATGCGACATTCACTAGGACAGCATGGGCAGTTGCCACCATTCTGCATCAGGCTCTACATTTGGTACTTCTGGTGCATTAGCTCACTTATTGCTCCCAACAACTCTATGAGTTAGGTGCTATTCATATTTCCATTCTACAAAGAAGAAGAGTGAGGTTTCAAAGAGGAAACTCAATAGGTAAAAAATAGAGGATCCAGGACTGAGCCCAAGCAATGTGCATCCATAGCCTCTATCTCTAACCTGTGGTATATCTTCCCCAAGTCCATTTGACCCATGAGTCCAATGTCTGTAAACTACATTCAGGTCACGGGAAGGTGAAGAGCAGAAGCCATGGTTAGAAGGGCAAACAGAAAGGCAGGCAGCAGAATCAATCTACAGTCTGGGTCCTGGACACAACCAGGGGAGCAGAAACAGTCCCAGAAAGAAGCTACAGAGACCACCTAGAAGGCAGGAGTGCTAAGCATGGGGGCTGCATCCCTGCAAATGGGACTTGACAGAGCAGGGATCCCAACTCAATAGTACTGCAGTCTTCTGGACTGGGGACAGAGGGTATGGAACCCTACATCTACCAATTAAGGAAGATACTATTTTACAGCCCAGCACAGTAATCATCCTGAAAAATTATGTCCTTCATCCAGCCAAGAAAGATTAAATTGTGCTCGGTATATTCTGCTCATGAAGAGAAAGAATGGCATTCTTAAAGTTTCCATTAGAAAGGAAGAAATTTAAATATTTTGAACATTGAGGGTTAGATATTCTTTATCTGGAACATTCTCTCCAGAACACTTTATTTATGATGAGGCTAGTTAGAGTCAAGTCTGAAGAATATACATCTCTTGGGATATTTTTCAAAATCCTTCTTTCATGTTATTATCTACTGACCTTCACATAAACCCAATGCAAGTCATAAAACTGGCAGTGGTATAGATGATAAATCGGATTATAATTACTTTCCCTTCCAAAAATCTCAATCTCTAGCATGTTAGAATTAAGATGACAACAGTGACAATGAGATTCTTGAAACTGCACTTGAAGCTATAACCAGATGCAAGTCTGCACTCTGGAATCAGTTACCTTTCGCTTTAAGTGATGGCAAACAGGCCTTCAGATACGTACTTTTAGTTTGCAAAAGGCCCAGGATCTCTTACATGCGTAATCATCCCATCTTTTTACTCACTTGAAATGGACACATCTCTTGCTCCGAAAAGCAGAGGACCTGAGAGGTAGGCATTTTACAAACTGAAAGTATAACTGGACCATGGCACCAGTCAAGACAAAATATCCAGGCCAAGAAGAAAACAATTAAAGGCCAGACACACATGCCCTGTGGTGGGGACAGAAGAGCTGGCCACACATACATTAAATTCTCATTATTCGCAGTAGTTGTGTTCTATGATGTAGCCATGAACACTGAATTAGTGAATACTGAACCATCAATCTTAGGGGAAATACAGGGTCAGAGTCCTGTGAGCCTCTGGTCACAGCATTTTGTCCACCACTCAGTATATACCCACCCTTGTCCATGTGTGTTTCTGTGTAAAGATACCTTATTTAGTATCAATCATTGATTCATTAACATTGAACTCCCAGCCAACAACATTTCAACTCATGCCTGAACGAAGCTTACCTAACACACATATTTCTCCATAAGGCACATCACAGCCTTCTTGTACTTAGGAACACTAGACAGCTCTTCATAACTATGCTTGGGCCATTTTAAACAGCAAAACCACCAACAAAAAGCATAAAAATGCCACAAAACAAGACAAAAATCCATGGCACTAAATAGACTATAAAAAGGACATTCATTTACATTACGAGAAATGGATCAAGAAAAAAAGCAGAGCGTACCTTGTTTGGCCTCAGCTGAGAACACATGAAGTGAACATATGAAGTTGTCATTCTGGGCATGTTCATAAATGACCATGAACGTGCCCTGAGTATTGATTTGGGGGTTTACAAATAAATTTACTGAATAGGAGAATTCGTAAATATGAGACCCACAAATAATGATGATCGACTGTATTGATTATCAACGGGCCTAGAGCCCCAGTGGTCGGTATTGATTGGATTTTCCACAGTTATTTTCTGCCACATGTTTTACCTGACTGAGCACCAGCACCCTGGCCCTCCACTCCACCCCTCATTTTTCATATTGGCCATTTCTGGCAAGAAATGCACTCCTGCCTTATGACAAATCCCACAGCGGTGACTGATTGTCTCGTCGGCTCCAGTCCCTGGACCCAGTGCAGCCCGTCAGGCTGGGGCTTCATGTCTTCATTAGCTCAGTCCCCAGAGCAGGCGCATGGCTGGCATCCAGGCAAAGAGATAAAGAGAGCCAGGCACTGCCATCCAGCACGTTCCTTACCACAGGGGCCTGGCGAGGGAAACATGGCTCACCTTCCACCCTGCCAAAGCCTGGCTATGCCCACACTCCATGGGATCCAACAGGAGCCTCATTCTGTTCCATTTCTTCAGGCCCCATCCAGCTACCTCCAGCCCCCAAATGCATCCTTCTTCTATAAGAGAAAATGTCTTCAGATCAGTAAGAACCACACAGATCTTGCTTTTCTCTTCTCCCTGCAGATGTTTATTTTAGTTCCCCAGAAGTTTGAGGTCTAAATGATGAGCTTTCACTCCATGGGGCAAATGCTCTAAAACTGGGTCATTTATCCTTACTCCAGTTGGATCCAGGTCCTATTCTCCTAACTCCAAATGAAGGATAATAGATGTTTGGCAACCAAACCTTGAACCCTCTGCAAAATCATCCAAAATAGCTCAAGTGAGCCCTTAACAGTTCAGTCCCTTAAGACCTCAAACCCACTCCAGGGGAAAGAAGCAGAGAATGGAAATAGGGAGAGGCCACCTTGAAGTACAGATTTTTGTAGTTCATCTACACAGGAAGGAAAATACATTCTGAAGTTTCTCTCTCCAGAGAGCAAGACCAAGGCCACAAGAGGCTCAGAGAGGTGTGGAGGAAGGAGCTGTTGCCCACCCCCAATGGCAAAAGCAGGACAGAAGCAAAGCAAGGCAAAGCCCCCATCTTTATTGTGAGCTGTAGATCTGGTCCCTTGTCCCTGGCATGAATTCCCTGGGAAGGAAATGAAGGTACCCTTTAGTTGGCAGGTAGCCCAAGAAATAGCAAGTGCAATTCAATTAGAATTGGATTCAATCAAATTTAAGAAGAAAATTCAATCCAAACCAGAGCGTCATTGAGGCAGCAGTTGACCAAAGCTCATTAGTTTGAGAGACCCCACAATCTCCCAATTAAAAACTTCCCCAGACCCCTTCCAGCCCCTACTCCATTTTACCATAAAAATGGGGAGAACTAAAATCTGTGCTCTCCAAGGCAAATTCAAACACTGGAAAGTTAGTGGTGATAGAATAGCTCCTACATGACAAATTAGGAGCTAAGTCTTTTGTCCCTCTAAGGTTTGTTGGTGCCGTCCTTCCTTCCAAGGTGCCTTTCCTGTAGAGTGTTTGACGTGTGCAAGAAACTCCATTGCACTGGTTTCAGCAGCCTCTTGCCTTGAATCAGATCTTTGCTGATGAAAGAAGGAAGAAAGTGTCCTGCCTCCCAGAGATCAACCAAGACAGGGCATGCACGCACACGCACGCACACGCACGCACACTCCACCAAGGGCCCTATTTCCCCCAAACAACTTATTAATATAAAATGAAATCCTCCATTTACCAATTTTGAAAGGAAAGGCACCAACTTGCTTTGAGATTTGAGAACTAGCCCAGTTCTGCTGCCAGACCCATCTTTGCTCAGAAAGTAAGGAGAAAACAAGGACCAAATCATGTAAAAAAAAAAAAAATCCAATGTCTGAGAACTTTTCCAAATAGACCTTTTTTTCAGCAACTCCCAATCTAATTCTGTTTGCTACACATTATTAAATTGAATATATCATTTAACTTTGATTATCAACTAGATTTTGTGTATTTTTTTTATTCCCATTTTTTTGTTTTGTTTTCGTTTAACCAAAAGGGAAGCCCCCAGGACATTTTCTTGTGTTTGGAATCCATATTGGCTCCATAGGGGAACGAACCTTCCCTAAATTAGAAATCCTTCCAGGCATGCCGACAGTGGCAGGGTGAACTCTAGCAGTGAGAGCAGAGATGGAGGCAATTATATCTGTGATCCATGTCAGTAGAGTACTGGTAAATAGTTAACAATTGGCTCTCTGGGGAGAAATCCCTGGTCTTTAGCATCTGCCAAATTCCATGGTGTAAATATTCCCAACATGGGTGATTCTCAAGCTACCAAAAAATCATCACTGAAGCCAGAGATGGGAAGAAACATACACAACTGGCTCTCAGGACCCAGTGTGGGTGAGTGGGCTCTGGCACCTCACTGGTTCAAATACCTTGAATCCCCTAAAGACCATTCTCAGATATATGTTTTTTTAATTTGCCACATAATACTGGGTTGATGAATACTGAAAATGCATATTCCATAACTATTGGAGAGTTTTTAGTTACTGTTTGGGAGGGGTTTTCAGGTCTTTGGAGACCAATTGTTATAAAAAGGCAAAGTCTGTGATCATGTTGTAGGGAAATGGACTTCACCCATTCCTTTAGACTCAGGCATGTCAGTGTCTCTTCTATCTATGAAGACAACCTGGGCTGACTAGAGAAGGCTGTCTGTGGAAAGCAGGGGCACGCAGGCAGGGTTCTTAGAGCGACGCCACCTCTCCTTCCATGCCTGACCCTTCTCTGTGCTCTCCGCCCTGCCCACCCTCCTTCTTTCACCAGAGAGTTTTCCAAAGAGAGGGAGAAGGCCAAGGCTCGGGGAGACTTCCAGAAGCTAAGAGAGAAACAGCAGCTGGAAGAAGATCTCAAAGGCTACCTGGACTGGATCACTCAGGCAGAAGACATCGACCCTGAGAACGAGGACGAAGGCATGGATGAGGAGAAGCCCCGAAACAGTGAGCAACCATCTTCTGTCTTGGGGCTAGGTTCTAGGAGAGAGAGGAGACAGCAGCAGGTCAACCAAAATATGTTTACCACAAACCTTTCTTTACAGCCCCTACTTGGTCTTCCAGGAGCAACATTTATCTCATTGATTGCAATCATTTGCTGCTCATAGGAATTAGTCACAGATGGGAAATAATTGCCATCAGTCTATAAAACCTCACATTCCTTTTAGAATCTTTGATCTGATAAAACAGAGTTTGCTAAGGCAATTCTCAATTCTCTTTAAAAAGTCTTTTTTTTTTTTTTAACCTCCTCCTGACTCCATCTCTTTAGGCAGGGGAGCAGGCTTCCTGCTCTTGGTTTGTTCAAAAAGAACAGTTTCCCCCAAGCAGCTCCCTGGTAAGCTTTATACCTGCATAGTATTCTCTCCAAACTTGCCATAGACTTCCAAGCACCATTGAGGTTTCTCATAGGAAAAGGAGTCAAAAGATTCTTTTAAGTAGGTTAGATTCAAGGAGCTGGGGAAGTGCTAACTGGGAAGATTGGAGGAATCCCAGAGGAATGTGACAGAATACAATTAGATTACAGAAATGGAGCCAAATCCCTTCCTTCGGGGTTTCACATGGCAGGTTGTTGGATAGGCTATAGCTAGGATAGAAATGAAAGTGATAGATGTATTAACTTGCAAGTAGATTCAAGATGATGAATCATGGAAATTCAGCCCCTTATCAAAGTAGCCCAGTGGCTCTCAAAGTGTGGTCCCTGGACCAAGCAGCAGCAACAGCACTTAGGAACTTGTTAGAAATGCAAACTCTTGGGCCCCTTCCCAAACTCACTAACTGGGAAATTGCAGGGTGGAAGCCCAGTAGCTATCTGCTGGTTAACACCTCCTCCAGGTGATTGTGATGGGCAGTAAGTCTGAGAACCATTGGGTTAGCTCTAAGGGTTCTGTGTATCTCCTTTGACCTTGAACTCAGTGACTCTAACTAACATTCTTTCCTACTCTTTGTGTGTGCAGTTTCTTTTGTTTTACATGTTTAAACAGGTACATTTCTGTACTCTACAGCAACCCAAACAGTTCCTAAACACAGGGCATTTAGAATAGTCAAGGAATCAAGCAGATTAAAAAGACAACCAGGATATTTGATGGACCCATGCAAGTAAGGGTAGGAAGCCAGAAATTTTTCTTTAGCTGGGAGAGAGATGAGGAGAGCCAGCAGAAGGAAAAGGAAGAGAAAGAGGATTGCCAGGGATGTTAACAGAACAGAATCTCTGCTCCCTCATTTCAAAGATTGACTTAATAAATCTATCAACTACTCCCTTTCTGATAACTCTGCTCAAGGTACAAATACAAAATTAAAACACATAAATAACAAGGGACTGGTTACAGCATAATTTAATAACTTAAGGAAGCCTTCATGCTCGACTAAGTAGTTTTGCAAGTTGGAAGATGGGGCCTTTGATGGATTATAACAATGAGCAATGATGCCACTGAGGGTCTTTCTGGAAAAATGCCTGACAGCTTCTATTACATTGTTGATGGAACTGCAGGGTAGTTGATTAGTTTGTGGCACTGAGTGGTATGGTAAATAAATAAATCGGCCTGTGGGCCACAGAGAGGCTTACCTCTCCAATACAGGAATTGCTGTTTCAGCTCCTCACTTTACTCACATTCAAAGTGGAAACCCTAGCTTGTGATTACTTTTCTTAACAGTTGTTATTAAAAACACACAATACCCATGACTTGCTTAGCAGCCAGTTGCCATCCACAGAGACATGGTTATTCTGTTCTCTGCCTAAAGCCAGAGCTTCCACAGGGATGTGTGCTGCTTCTCCATTTTGCCCACTAGAAGAACGAATTCCAAGGAGAGCTTCTAGCATGCAGTATTCCTTGCTGCAGCAACAGATCATACCGACAAGGTCCATCTACCCAAATTTCTGGCCTGGCTCTGAGAACAGCATAATGAACAATTTACCCCAATAGACAGAGTCTCTGCCAAGATTTTCGTAAATATGGATAGATCAGACTTTGGAGGCTGTTGTTCCTCTCCCATGCTTCCTTATGGCTGGAGGACCTTTCGGGTCTGCTTCTTGTCCTCAGCCAGCCTTGTCTTTGGAGGACTGGAATGGGAGCCTGGCTCCTTCATGAGTGGAAATGCTGTTGGGACAGTTCCAGGGGGAGGGACAAGGGAATGAAGTTCCAAACAAACTAGGTTATGGAAAGTAGACATGAAGAAATGGAACATGAGACTTAGGAATAAGTCCAGGAAAAGAGTCCAAACGATGGTGTCTATTGGGGAAGTCCAATTAAAAGTAGAGTCAATCCGATTTCATTATTAAGGAATCAGAAGCCTAAGAGACTTACAGAAAAGGCAAGAGTATGGCTTGGAAATGATATTCTTAGCCTCAGAACTTCATATTCTGCCCTTTGAAATAAATACAAGAGGAGAAATTCTGCTACAAACTAGATGTATGTTTTAATTAGTGTAGTATCTTAGCCTTTGAAATCACTGAAAGATTACAGGATGGTATATTTGTCAGTTCTTTTCAGCTCAAAAATGAAGTAGTCTTTTAAGACAAAAAGGTATCATCACCTCATTGTGGCTCTGGTGACTACTTTTGGCCCCGGGAGTGTCCCTGTCCACATGTACCAGATGTCTCTGATATAAGGCCCTGGGAAGCAGAGCTGGCTACAGTGGAGGGACAGCCCAATGACACATCACTGCATGGTGGCTGAGCACACCTACGCATAGCCCAAGTATTCAGCTTTCCTAGGAAAAGCTAAAGGAACTAATAAGGAAGTAGAAGAAACAGGAGTTGGAAGACAATAGAGACAAAGCATTAAAAGTTGGGAGGCATTTCTCTAAATGAGTAAAAGAAGGGGCCAATAACTATGTATAATTTCTAGTTCATCCATCCACCTACCCTTGAAAGGTCTGCTCTTTGCCAGACACTTCTCTAGGCACTTGTGATATAGCAATAAAACCCAGCGGTCAAAAATCCCTGCCATACCCTGGGGAGACAGACAATACATTAAATAGTATATCAGAGAGCGAAGAGTACCATGGAGAACGATGGAAGTGTGGATGGGCCTAGCGGTGCCAAGAGGTTATATAATGTTAGATGGGGGCAACCAGGGAAGATCTCACTGAGAAGGTGGCATTTGAATAAAATTTGAAGGCAGTAAGGAAAGGAACCACACAGATATTTGCAAAAATAATGTTCCAGGCAGAGGGAAGGCCAATGAAAAGACTTTGAGGCAGAAGCATGGATGGGGCATCCGTGAACAGAAAGAGGCTAATGAGACTGAAAAGGAGGGAAAGAGGCAGAGTGACGGGCAACAAGGTCCAGGGGAACCCAGGAGGATTTGGTGTAACTTGTGAGAACATGGATGTTAGCTAGAAGAAAGCCAAGTAGCCTTTGGAGGTTTTGAGCAGAAAAGTCACATGATCTGAGGTGCATTTGACAGGGACCCCTGGCTGCCACATGCTGAAGTGTTGAGTAGAATGGAGGTGGCAAGGGCGGGTCTGCTCAGGAGGCTGCCACCTTGAAAGATGATGGTGCCTTGTCTCAGCCAACGTGGAGGTAATAAGATCAGAATTCGGGTGGCATCATTCACTGAGATATTGGGTTTGGGATGTGAGAAAGAGAGAAATCAGGCATTTTCCAAGGTGATGTAAGAATGGAATTATTGCTTGGCATAGGGAAAATATAAGTAGAGTAGGTGTCAGTATAGGAATAGGGGGAAAGGCATCTCGGACCTTTAAGTTTAAATGCCTATGAGACTTCCAAGTGGAGATGTTGAGTGGGTGATTGAGACTAAACCTATGTCCTTGGTTAACATCTGGGACTGGATTATACTTTGGGGGCATTGACAACACACACAAGATGTTTAAACCCATATGTCTGCATGAAATCACCAGGGAGCAAATGAGATGAGGTCTAAGAACCGACAGCAGGGCCCCACCAATGTTTGGGATTTGGGGTCATGGGCAAGAATCAACAAGAAAGAGTCCAGAGAGGCAGGAAGGAAAACAGAGGAAGGAGTGTCAATACTGCCAAGAGATCAAGTAGGATGAGGACTAGAAACTGTTGAACTTAGCCATGTGGGGATCCATAGGCCCTTGACAAGAGCTGGTTGGTGGGCTGTTGGGGCGAAAGCTTCATAGCAAGTCAGTGTCTCACATCACAAGTCTCTTGATTTGCATCTTCCTAGGATGGCATTAAGCATTGCTCTGCAGCCTTCCTGTTTGGTTGGCACGACCTTGCTGCCCGCCATCTGAGGAGTCAGGCCCTCTGGAGAAAGGAAGCAAGCTAAACTCATATGATCCATCCAGCATGCCAGTGGCCCTGGGAAGGCAGTGGGTTGGAGCCCAGCCCTTCAATGTGTCCCTATCTACAACTGTATCCGCATTGGGCCTTTCTACTGCAACTGGTCATAGAAACCACCCCCCCCCACCAAATAAAAAGTAAAAACATGATACTCAAGAGACATTTCAGGATCAAAAAGACAGAAGAACAGCTAGAGAAGGGCATGTCACTGTTGCCCTCCATGCAGCTTCCAATGTGGGGCAGCCCCTGGGTTTTGGTCTCCAAGCCCCGTTTTTTGTCTGGGTAAACACTAGAACGGTGTGGAGTCTCAACTCTGTAGTGGCTGCCACTCTCCTCCCTCCCAGCTGCTAGGAGCATCCCTTTTGAAGGCATCAATTGCAAAACTATCACTGTGGCACAGGGTTCAATATCATCAATAGAGAGCACTACTCCAAGGGACAGGGTCCATTTTCTGGTTCCAATATTGAATCTGATAAAAGGCCAGGCATTAGAGGGAGAAACTGGAAAGAAAGAGAATTTCTTCTTTCTTTTTCCTCCTCAAGATCAAAAAATGCATGTATTAAATCTATCCATATGGGATTCTCTCTCTCTCTCTTTCTCTCTCATGTCATTTAGACAATTTAAATGCAGCCCCAGCCTTCCAAAGCTTGCAATATAAGACAGACATTTATGTGAATGA